AGTAAAAGTAATTAGCTTACCTAGGTAATTACTATGTCTGTGCGCATAATGCGCAGATTCGCGTAATATATTACACTACTAAAATAGCTTACTTAAAAATAAGGCTATAGAGCTATACTTAATAGTTATTATTATAAGATAATTTATTAGAGTACTCTATAGACCTATATAATAATATTCTCTTATATATTTTACTTATATAGAGTTGCTATTTAGCTGCTATAGGTAGTATAGGTGCAGGTAGGCAGAGAAGGCGTTATAGGTATAGGGTAACTATAAGCACCTACTATATAACGCATAGGCTTACTTCTTACTATAGAAGCTTTTAAAGTTATCTTATTACCTCTTTAGGATAATTATATAGCTTTTGCAGTATTATAAGCTTCCTTCTAATATTATTTTTTAGCCTTGCATTTAGCTACTTCTTCTACCTTCTTAGCTTTAACCTAGGCTCTCTCTTCCTTCTCCCTTACCTACTACTTATACTTCTCCTATTAAAGCTTTTCTTTATATAGCTTATTAGCATGCCTAAGTTTAGCTATCTCTACTTTTCTAACCTCTTCTGCCTTAGCTTCTTGTTATTTTACCTGCTTATACTAACGTGCTTTCTTAACCCTATAAGGAGAGTAAAACACTGCTCTACTATAATAGTCCTTAGGTTTCTAGAAGTTAAGAGGTTTGCTCTTCTTCTTATACTTCTTCTAAGTCTTAAGAACCTCTTTTAGGCCTGCTATCTTATAGTAGAGTAGCTAGTTTTAGACTAAGATATAGTAGAGAGATTAGCTAATCTTCCTTAGCTCCTTACTACTCTTATCCTTAGCTACCTTCCGCAGTAGAGTCTTAATTTTAAGCTAATCTTTGCTAGAATAAGTTAAAGAAGAGCTTCTGCTAGTATTAGAAGCTTCTAGAGAGTCCTTAGTAAAGCGTTAGAGTATAACGTTAGGTTAGAGGGGTACTATACCTGTTGCCTTAAAAGACTTAAGTATTAGCCCCTAAGTAAATATACTTATCTAGGCCTTCTAGAATAGGTAGAAGAAGTTACTCTTCTTAATTACTAATAGTCCCTAGCTATTATAAAGATATATTATAAGCTCCTTTAAGTATGTAGTTAAGAGAGGCTTAAATATTACTATATCTAACAGCTACAGTATATATATTAAGTAAGGAGAAAGGATAGCTAGAAGTATTCTATTCTAATTATAATAGTTAATAAAATCTATTATTATATAGAATCTATAGCTATTAAGGATTAGGAGGCGCTAGTTCCTCTGTGCCTTAGTCTTAGTAAAGCAATTAAACACCTACTAAAGCTAGGCAAGGCCTATATTATTATTAGTCTAGCTAGTAGGGGATAAGGAAACAAATACTAAGTATACCCCTAGCTCTATCTCCTCTACCTAGCTTAATTATAGGGTACTATTAGCAGAGTTATAGAGGAGACCTAGCGGTAGTACTATCCTATTACTATATATATAAGCTAGTAGCGTTACCTATACCCTATTACTATCTTAGAGTAATACCTTAACCTCCCCCTTCTTCTATATCTATCTACTAAAGACATATTTTATCCTAGTAGTAACCCCTATTATAAAGCCCTTCTTATCTATATTATATATATAGTAGCTATTAACCTTATATTTAGCAATCTTGCGTTATAGTAGGTTAAAGTAGAGCTTATACTTTTAATATAAATTAGCGTTATAGCAATTAGTATCTATACCTGTTAAGTATTTAGAGATAAGATAGATAGCATAGGTGTTAATAAACTAGGTAACCTAGCTCTTGCTTACGCGATCCTTAGCTATAGAAGATATAAAATTTTATATTATCTCCCTTATAGGAGGTATAGAATAAGTAGTAAGCTCTCTTATATAAGTTATAAGCTCTTTCTCTTATTAGGGGGTAAGCTTCTATTATGCAATAATCTTCTCCTAATATAGGCGCGTCTTACCTCTCTATATGCGCATTAACATTAACTATATAACACTATACTTTTATACTATTTTAGTCTATAGAATCTTATCTTTAGATATAAAAGTATTATACTCTAAGAGGGCTTCTTATAATCCTATTACATTATATTATTATAAATATATAAGTATAGAGGTATTTTAGTAGTTCGGCGCATTACGCAAATCTGCGCATTATGCGCACAGATATAGTAGCTTACCTATAAGGTATGTTATTATTATTCTATATATACTATTATATACGTTCTTTATTATTATATACTATATATTTATTACTTAGGCGTTGCAATATATTAGTCTAGTGCTTAACCTCTAGTTATTAGTCTAGGGCCTAGAGCATCTAGTTATAATACTCTTAGTATTTAGTAGATCTATTTAGTTTATTATACTAGTATAGTATAGGTGCTCTACTTTAGATACTTTATTAGTCCTTATTAGGTTTAATATATTTATTATTAGTCTTAGGTTTTATCTCTAGATCTTCTATAAGACGTCCTATATTATTAGTAATTATTTCCTAATTACTAGCATTAGTAGGCTTAGCCTTGCTAGATAGTATATCAAGCTATTATATAACCTTATTCTTGCTATAATAGTCTCTAGTAAAGTAGTCTATTTTACTATAGCTATAGTAAGTTATTAGAGGCTTACTAGTATTAAGGTTATACTTTAAGCAAAGCTTATAAGCACTATTTAATTAGTTCTTAGGGATAAATACTATTAGAGAAACTAAAGAGGTCTTGCACTAAGGAGTATAGATATAATCTATCTATCTTAAGGGTAAGAGGTAATAATAAGTAGTATAGAGTAGACTATCTAGCTTAAAGGTTAGGTTAAGATCTAATATTATAGATTAATACTTAGGTTAAATATAAACTATAAAGGTTATATTCCTACTTACTATATACTAATACTAAGGTTTACTTATTAATAAGTAACTAATAAGTATCTAATAAAAGGTAATAAGAGTACTTATTAATAAGTAGAGTTATACTATACTTATTAATAAGTAGTAGTCTATATACTTACTTATTAATAAGTAAGTTATATAACTATAATTATAAGTCCTACTTACTATACCTCTATAACCTAGATAGAACCTAGTTAGTTACTTATTATACTATGCTATACTCCTTTATAAGATTATAATAGAAAGTAAGTTTAGGCAGAAGAGACCCTAATAGTTAAGAAGGGCTAGTAATTAATAGCTCTAATAGAGTTTAGGGCGTATAGTAATAGTAAGAAGGCAAAGAAGCAGGTGCGCACTAATAGGGCTAAGCTAACCTAAAGGCGCTATAGATAGTATAGTAAGACTAGACATAACGCACAAACGTGCAAGAATAATATAGAAGTAGTCTCTAAGTAATATTATAGCTTGTTTTGCCTTATGCAGCGCTATTTTATAGTATTTTAAGTTATAATAGGGTAGGCTTTAGTAGGGGCTTAGCAAAAGTATTCTACTTACTTAGTATTCTACTCGCCTATAAGGTACGTTAACAATATTAGAAAGTTTTAAAATGTTTTATTTACTTATGCTTTATATAATATCAATAGCTAGATATAAGAATACGCAGTATTATAGCAAGCAGCAATAATCTACTAATAGCGATATATTATGTCTTAGCTTGCCATCTCAGCTTAAGCAACCAATTCAAGCTATATTCGCATGTCGAGAGTACACAGGGCAACTTTGGATACAAAATTTCAGTTTCCCTGTCTTAGAATATTCAATATCAATATGTGGCGTTAATATTAAGGTTTCTCCGTCGCGAATCTGTTGCGATGATTCAATGTGAGAATTTAGCGTAGAAGAGAAGAGCTTTGTCATCTGCAAAGAATCCTCACGTGTTTATCACGTGAGCTTTGTTCTAGCACATTCCTTTGTTCTATTCTTAGCACAACACCGTGAGGATGGATGGCCTGCAACCGGTCGTGTCCACTTCACTCAGAGCGTCCGTAAATCACAGCAACCATGGACCCAGCCAGTCATGCACTGGCATTAGAACTGCCCCCTAATGTTCGCAGGAGCGTCTCTGCTCGAGCTAGACATGGTAATGTAATGTCCCTCGTACTACTGTGCATTATCGCTCCAAAGGACGACAATCGAGAAAAGCGAAAGACGAAGGCCAGCAATATCTAACCCCTTCTGAGGAGAAAGCACTCGTGGATTTCATATTACGTATGAGTACCAGCGGATCTCCTATTCGTGTAAAATATATTCCCTCGCTTGCTTTTTGCATCGCCCGCCGACGTACAACGAATCGACCTGCCAGCGAGCCGCACAAGAACTGGCCTCAGGGCTTCCGCCGCCGGCACCCCGAGATCAAATCGAGGAACAACCGAGCGATGGCTTGGGAACGCCATGATAACAACATATATGATAAGGTGGTACACTGGTTCGATGTAATCGGACCGGAAGTCTGTAGACCAGACGTTGAGCCACAGAATTGGTATAACATGGATGAGACAGGCATTATGCTTTCTATGCTCGGCACTGTCAAAGTTCTTATAGGTAAGGATGACCAACGGAACTATAGAGGCGCTGGTGTCAAGCGTACGATGGTGACTGCTATCGAGTGCGTGTCAGCAAGTGGTGAGTTTCTGCACCCAATGATCATCTGGCCTGCCTCTACCCATCGGAGTAACTGAACAACGTACCCTACACCTGGGTGGGTCTTCGCTCTCTCCGAAACCGGCTACAACGACTCTTATCTTAGCTTGAAGTGGATGAAAGAAGTATTTGATCCCCAGACGAAAGCTCGTGCTAACGGGAAACCACGGGTACTGGTATGTGACGGCTTCGGAACCCACGAAACCCTTGAGATACTGGAGTTTTGCTTTGAGAACAACATTACGCTCTCTAGACTTCCTTCTCATACTTCTCATAAGCTCCAGCCATGCGATGTGTCAGTCTTCGGCCCCTTAAAGTCAGCATATCGAGAGCAAGTAGAACGACTGTACCGCGGAGGTCTGACGAATATCAACAAGGAGCACTTCACCACTATATACAGCCGGGCAAGAGAGAAGGCGATGACTAAACGAAATATCCTCGCAGGCTGGGCAAAGGCTGGACTGTTTCCATTTAACCCTGAAAGGGTTCTCCGTGACCTTACAAAGCCAGGCGCTCCACTGACTGTTCAAGCACTGAGAGCAGATGGAGCTTCCCAGGACGAGATTGTTCAAACACCAGTCACACCTTTATCATCAGAAGCTCTTAAAGATGTGCTAAATCAGATTAAGCAGTGCTCTCGCTCTGATCAGCAGCATAGTAAGCTAGTCCAAAAGCTTGCCAACGCCGTTGAGAAATCTATTGCTCGCCAAGCTCTTGATGAAAATTACATCAAGGTCCTCAGGACTGCAAACAATGAGGCAAAACCTCGCAGATCGACAAAGTCGAAAATCCTTGGGAAAGCAAGGGTGATGACTTACGAGGATATCGTCGCAGAACGTGCTAGGAGGGATGCTGCACCTTAAACTTAAGGGAAAGGCAAAGGCAAAGGAAAGCGTGGTTGCCCACGGAAGGCAACTACCCAGGCTGAAGAAGGTCCGGCAGATGACGCGAGTAATCATCGTCAACACGAGACCGCTATTCCAGAAGCAAGTAAACCAGGAGGTGTTGAACCAGATGCGGCTCAGCCATCAGCTGGAGTAACATGGGCAAGAGAGACGCCGGTAGATCCAATGTTAAAGTCCTGGAAGGCACCTGTAGCCCGAATGTGGTGATGTGCTTGGCTCATAGAGGTGGGTATAGGCGTAGGCGTATATTAGATCTTTTTCCTTCCTTGCTTAATAAATGACTTTAGAAGTAGCTTACTGTCGCACGGTTGGGTGCGGGGGTTGCAAGTATAGGATCTTGAGAAGAGTGTGTATATTGTTTTTTTTTATTTTAGCATCATAGCTCAGCTAATATCTAGGTCCTTGCGTGGCACGATTAGTAACACAGTTTAGGTTCACGACAGCGCTTGGCCTGCGACACTTACTGTCGTACGCGTAAGCCCCTTGAACATGTGAATGATGCTAACATGTGCTTTCTAACGTTCTCCAGCGCTCATTGTCCTATATATAGCGTTGAGAAAATACGTGGATAAGAAGCGATTGAATCAACACGTGACTACAAACGTCCATCGCTCATGATTGGCTCTCTCATCTAGGTTAGCTGTAAAAATTTGAACCCACGTAAGCGCATCTTGATTGGAGCATTTATCCCGCAAGTACCAAGCAGCGTGGCGGCCACGCATAAATCGGTCCGCACACCAGCCATGATAGCGTTGTAGAGGTTCTAAGCGACATACAAGACTCCTAGACGTGTATGAAATCTGTGCCGATGTCTATGTCGCCGAAAACTAACAGTGGTGGCCTTGACTTAGTTGAGCATCAGCTGTTGCCATAAAGTCAGTCATTTCGTGACTCGGGCGTTCGGTGCACGGACAGGTCACTGGGCGACGATGATCAGACACTATGGCTATACTAAAAGGACACAGCAGCTAGGTTAGGTGCTCGCAGTCTATGCGAAATTTCATCTTTATGATTAGGTGATATAGAAGGCGTGACCACATTGTTGAAATCAAAGTCACGTGCGATGAGCGATTAGTCATTAGGTAGCGCAGAACTCTGTAACCGCTCAACAACAAGATGTAGAGCGACCGCGCGTCCCACGTTACTTCCTCACAACACGCATTAAAGACTCAAGCAACTTGGCGTAGGGCACCCTCAACCTTGCATCGGCTCCTTTCTCACGATTGGGAAGAAGCTCCAAGCGCGACATTCGTTCCCGCGCCATGAGGACCAGGCTTACGCTGCAACAGAAGGATCACCTCGTGCAACACATTTTGGAGCTAGAAGCTCGAGGCTTCCCTCCCTGGGCGGCGGGTATTGAGGAGGCCGCTAACGATTTGCTTGCTGGCCAGAAGCGTTCAGTTGGGATCCGTTGGGTCAAGGACTTTGTCAAGAGCCGGACGGACTTACCAGTGAAGTTTTGTGACCGATATAAGCATGATGCCCGACGCGAGGTCGATACCATCAACCAGTGGTTTACCAATTTCAAAGACGTGAAGGCTCAGTACAAGGTCCAGGACGCAAACATATACAGCTTTGACGACTATCGAAGCGACGTAGACAGAAGCGACAAAGGCGTCCTACAAGCGGGTTCCGACGTAAGACGACAACGATACCCAGATCATCGTCCCAAATGTTCGCGCCATCTTACAGTACTTCAAGCCCTCAGCGCGACAGGCCGGGCGGTTCCGCCATTCCTCATCTTTGCTGGCCGTCCTCCCCTGACTATAGGGGATCCTGGGAGCGATGTGCCTCGCACTTGGGGGATTACAACATCTGAGGACGGCCTCGCGACGGCACGGACAGCAGCTGTATGGCTGGAGCATTTTGACAAGCACACTAAGCCTCGCGCTGCTAAAGCCTACCGGATGCTCATCCTTCACAGCCACGAGTTCCATAACTCTATCCAATTCCAACGTCTCTGCCATGGAAGGAGGATCATCCCTATCTGTGTACCATATTGGTACGGCCATCGACTGCAGCCATTCGATGTGGGATATTTCCCGTCCTTACAAAAGGCATATTCGGAAAAGTTAGACGACCTGATAGACCGCATCAGAGGGTTGGTGGTTGAGCCATATTGGTTCCTGTCCGCTTTGGTTGCAGCCTTCAGTATAGCCTCCACAAAGCAAAGCATCTGTGCAAGCTTCCGAGACGCCGGCCTAGTACCATACGATCCAGACGCTGTGCTGTCGAAACGTCCCATCGAGCTTCCAATGCCCATTGACCTGGCCCAAGACGAGATCCAGCCCGAGCTACGCCTGTTAGACCGCACGGGTCAGAAGAAGGTCCGATTTGTCGTACCAGAGACGTCAACTCAGCGAAGTCGAAACGAGTGGTTGTCTACTCAATGCAAGTCAAATAAGAAGCGCGCTCGGACTGCTACTTCACCGACGATGCAGACTCTCTTGTTGTATGCTGAGTTAGTGGATGCTCTAGAAACCCAAAATAGGTTATTGGAAGAGCGTGTGGAGCAGCTGATGAAGATGCAGCGGCAGATTACAACCCATAAGAAGTCGCCCGCGCAAAGGCCTAGAGGACAATCTGTTCAGAAATTGATCCAGAAACGGGCAAAGAGACGTTGCAGGGGTTGCGGCATAGCAGGTCATGATTTACGGAACTGCAAGGGCTGAGATATACTTACCAACAAGTCTGCACATAACGTGAGCGGTAAGCGAGTCGCTCGGGCAAGCGAGTCGCTTACCTTTGCCAAGATTACACCTCATTCAACCTTTCATCCAATGTCTTAACAACCTGATCTCAAATTGCTTTCTTGTGAGGATAGGATAGTCCTTGCTATCTAAGCTATAAAATCTAACGCGTTGCTAAGCTAGCAACACGCTGCTGCTATCTATAACATTCCTTAAAGGACTCTCTCTAACTAACGCGCTAAAACCACCTTATAACGCAATTCCTATCCTAACTTATTCTAGCTTACTAGGGTTAAAGAGGACATAATTATATAATATATAAGAAAGCTTAACACATAAGGCTTTGCCTCTATGCTTAGCTATATATATAAAATAGCTAACTAACTACTAGCTACCTATTATAGTAGCTAGGTTAGGGGAAAATAGGCTAGGAACCTTATATACTAGAAGCCTAAGATTAAGTCTTAAGTAACTAGATAGCATAATTACTAGAGAGTTCTATATAGCAACCTAGCTATTATTAGCCCCTGTTATAATTGCCCTTTTATAACTAACTAGATGCTAACACCTAGCAAATGCTAACACGCTTGGCATGATATTACACGGGCTATCCTATATGGCGCAGTTTTATTACAAGTCACGTGACGAGCTTACTCCTTGGCAGTCAAGCTAAAGTAGGTCTTATGTGGAGCTCACGCAGCTCACGTCGAGCTTGGTAAGCCTAGCTTACGCAGCTTATGTCGAGCCTGGTAAGCTACTACACTCTCTATAGTATATAGCAAGTAGGAACACAACCCTTATAGTTCGTGTTTAACCTAAGTATTAATCTATGATATTGGATCTTAACCTAACCTTTAAGCTAGACAGTCTACTCTATACTACTTATTGTTACCCCTTGCCCTTAAGATAGACAGATTATATCTGTACTCCTTAGTGCAAGACCCCTTCGGTTTCCCTAACAGTATTTATCCCTGAGAACTAATTAAATAGTGCTTACGAGCTTTGCTTAAAGTACAACCTTAATATTTTAAACACCCTTAAGATGTCTACTACCTTAGGAAACCAAGCTACCCCTAGCTTAACGTCTAACAATATAGACATGACCGATAATAGTGCTGCCCGCATAGGTAACATCACGGTTAACAAACCCGATCTCTACTACGGCGAATGTAACAAGCTTAACAATTAGCTTATGCAATAGGACTTGTTCTTCTTGTTCCAAGGCGAACGCGTTAAAGAGATTAAAAGGGTTGTGCTTGTTAGCAGTTATATGCGTGGCGCGGCATTTAAATAGATTAAACCCTTTGTACAACAGTATAACGCGGGCGAGGCCCTAGACGAAGTAGATGTCTAGATAAAGGACTTCAATGCTTTTAAGGAACAGATTAAACCCGTGTTTAGCATATTTAACAAAGTCTCTAGCGCAAGACGCGAGATCCAACGTATTATACAAACTAAGTTAGCTGCTAACTACGCCGCGGAGTTCTAACAACTCGCTGCACACACTAACTAGGACAACACCGCACTTTTAACTATATTTAAGCAAGGACTCAAGCTAAAGATCAAGGAGGAGCTAATGCGCACCAGCGCCAGCACTGACACCTTCAATGCATTGGTTAACACTGCGATTAATATTAACGTTAAACTATATAAGCTATAGTTGGAATTGCGAGATAACCCCTAAGCGCGGGCCACTAATTCTGCACCACACGCCTTTAGGAACTAATAGAAAAATAACATCTAACGAGGACAGCGTAGAGGACGCTACTAGTCTAACACGTCACGACAAGTCTATACTAGAACCAACACAGGATACTATAGCGCTGAGGCTATAGACCTTTCTAACATTAACAAAGGACCTAAACGGTAGAATATTAAGAACAAGGGTAGTTCTAGAACTAACAAGCTACTAGTAACTTGTTATAGCTGTGGCAAACAAGGCCACTTCGCTAGAGACTATCGCAGCAAGAACAAAGTTACGCGACAGCTTAACATATTATCTAGTAAAAGAGTTAGCTTTACTGATGCTAGTAACTAGGAAATAATTACTAATAACATAGGACGTCTTATAGAAGACCTAGAGACGGAATCCGGGACAGATAACGAATACATCGAACCCGATAAGGACCAACAAAACGTCCGAAGCAGCACACCTATACCACACCAATAGTTAGAAGTCTGCACTACTAAACAACGCAGATCTGCTAAATATTAAGAACATTGCGACCAGATGCTCTAGGTCCTAGACCAACGACTGGAAGCTAAGCA